GTTGCAAATGGTAAAAGTTCCTTCTTTTTTTACAGCAGCATAGTATTCCGTCGTGTAGATGTACCACCGTGTTTTAATCCATTCATCTGCTGATGGGCACTCAGGCTGTTTCCAAATCTTAGCTATGGTGAATTGTGCTGCTGTGAACATAGGGGTGCATATCTCCTTTCTGATTGGGGTTTCTGGGACCTCCTGGTCCTTAGGTCTATGCTCAGCGAGGAGATAGAAACATGGGTCAGCGGCCTCCTGCACGCCCCCCACTGGGGACTGAGCCCGAAACCCAGGCCTGTGCCCTGAGGAGAATCCAACGGGCAACCCTTCTGCGCAGGGGAGGGCGCCGGACCTGGAGACACTGTCCAGCCCGTTGGCGGGTTCTTGCACGTGCCCCGACCTGGCTCACACCTGCACCCTCAGCCTATGGGGACGGCGCTCTCCCCGGCCAGGGCTCTATCTGCTTGGAGGTTTTGTTTTAGCTCCTTTGTTAGTTTATTATGTGGCCTTTATCATTGAGTTGTAAGAGGTCTTTGTATCTTCTGGAGACAAATCTTTTATCAGATTAGTGTGTGTTTTGCAATTAGTACCTTCCACTATGTGGGCGTCTGTTCGCTGGAGTCTCCTTTGGGGCACAGAAGGTTTCCATGTTGAGGACGTTCCGTTTCCTTCCTGCTGTGCTTTCTGCTGTCGTACCTAAGAGCCCTTTGCCAAGTCCAAGGGTATGAAGACTGTCCCTGTGTTTTCTGCTAAGTGTTCAGTCGTTTCCGCTCTTACGTTTATGTGAGGTGGGGACCAACTTTATGCTTTTGCACGCGGCTCCCTGCTGGTCCTGGAGGGCGTGTTTCACAGCCACGCAGCCCCCGCCACGGCCCCGAGGAGGCAGGAAACGAGGAGGCAGGCTGGGTCCCTGGTCTGGGCTGCTCTTTGTTGTTGTCAGTTCTCACCCGAGGATATTATTCTGTTGATCTTTAGAGAGAGTGGGAGGGAGGGGGAGAGACAGGAAGAGACACGTGGATTGGTTGCCTCTGGCAGGCACCCTGACCACCAAATCTTAGCTATGGTGAATTGTGCTGCTGTGAACATAGGGGTGCATATCTCCTTTCTGATTGGGGTTTCTGGGACCTCCTGGTCCTTAGGTCTATGCTCAGCGAGGAGATAGAAACATGGGTCAGCGGCCTCCTGCAGGCCCCCCACTGGGGATTGAGCCCGAAACCCAGGCCTGTGCCCTGAGGGAGACTCCAACGGGCAACCCTTCTGTGCAGGGGAGGGCGCCGGACCTGGACACACTGTCCAGCCCGTTGACGGGTTCTTGCACCTGCCCCGACCTGGGCTCACACCTGCACCGTCGGCCTGTGGGGGACGGCGCTCTCCCCGGCCAGGGCTCTATCTGCTTGGAGGTTTTGTTTTAGCTCCTTTGTTAGTTTATTATGTGGCCTTTATCATTCTGGAGACAAATCTTTTATCAGATTAGTGTGTGTTTTGCAATTAGTACCTTCCACTATGTGGGCGTCTGTTCGCTGGAGTCTCCTTTGGGGCACAGAAGGTTTCCATGTTGAGGACGTTCCGTTTCCTTCCTGCTGTGCTTTCTGCTGTCGTACCTAAGAGCCCTTTGCCAAGTCCAAGGGTATGAAGACTGTCCCTGTGTTTTCTGCTAAGAGTTCAGTCGTTTCCGCTCTTACGTTTATGTGAGGTGGGGACCAACTTTATGCTTTTGCACGCGGCTCCCTGCTGGTCCTGGAGGGCGTGTTTCACAGCCACGCAGCCCCCGCCACGGCCCGAGGAGGCTGGCTGGGTCCCTGCTCTGTGCTGCTCTTTGTTGTTGTCAGTTCTCACCCGAGGATGTTTTTCTGTTGATCTTTAGAGAGAGTGGGAGGGAGGGGGAGAGACAGGAAGACACACATCGATTGGTTGCCTCTGGCAGGCACCCTGACCAGGGCCGGCCATCGAGCCTCTAACCGAGGTCCGTGCCCTTGACTGGAACGGAACCTGAGACCCTTCAGTCCACGGGCTGATGCTCTATCCACTGGGCCACACTGGCCAGGGCTGTGGGACACGTTTTAAGTACCTTGTATCAATTTCTAAAAATTAAGAGTTGAGCCCGAAACCCAGGCCTGTGCCCTGAGGGAGACTCCAACGGGCAACCCTTCTGTGCAGGGGAGGGCGCCGGACCTGGACACACTGTCCAGCCCGTTGACGGGTTCTTGCACCTGCCCCGACCTGGGCTCACACCTGCACCGTCGGCCTGTGGGGGACGGCGCTCTCCCCGGCCAGGGCTCTATCTGCTTGGAGGTTTTGTTTTAGCTCCTTTGTTAGTTTATTATGTGGCCTTTATCATTCTGGAGACAAATCTTTTATCAGATTAGTGTGTGTTTTGCAATTAGTACCTTCCACTATGTGGGCGTCTGTTCGCTGGAGTCTCCTTTGGGGCACAGAAGGTTTCCATGTTGAGGACGTTCCGTTTCCTTCCTGCTGTGCTTTCTGCTGTCGTACCTAAGAGCCCTTTGCCAAGTCCAAGGGTATGAAGACTGTCCCTGTGTTTTCTGCTAAGAGTTCAGTCGTTTCCGCTCTTACGTTTATGTGAGGTGGGGACCAACTTTATGCTTTTGCACGCGGCTCCCTGCTGGTCCTGGAGGGCGTGTTTCACAGCCACGCAGCCCCCGCCACGGCCCGAGGAGGCTGGCTTCCCTGCTCTTCTGTGCTGCTCTTTGTTGTTGTCAGTTCTCACCCGAGGATGTTTTTCTGTTGATCTTTAGAGAGAGTGGGAGGGAGGGGGAGAGACAGGAAGACACACATCGATTGGTTGCCTCTGGCAGGCACCCTGACCAGGGCCGGCCATCGAGCCTCTAACCGAGGTCCGTGCCCTTGACTGGAACGGAACCTGAGACCCTTCAGTCCACGGGCCGATGCTCTATCCACTGGGCCACACTGGCCAGGGCTGTGGGACACGTTTTAAGTACATTGTATCAGTTTATAAAAATTAAGAGTTTTCACTTGAAAACATGACCTAATTTTTAGCTTCTCACCAGAGACGGGCAGTTCTGACCACTTGAGGCCCGTGTTTCCCCACAGTCAGTTGAGTCCAGCTGCCCCTGTACACGGGGCCCATTCCCTGTCCCCTCCGGTGTCGCCCTCGGGTTAAACGCTCGCACTGGCCACGCCAGCCCTGGGAGCCCGCCCGGTCCCTGAGGGCAGGGGGGCTTCTGACTCTCACTGTGACCCTCTTGTCAGAGGACAGGCCTGGCTCTGAGTCCGAGGGTCGTGTAAACTGTAGATGCATAACAAACCACCCCAGGCCCAGGGCCTTGACAGCAGCCGTTCTGTGGCCCACAGATCTGCGAGGCAGGAGCGCAGACGGTCTCTGTCCGCACCCTCTCCTGTCTGAGATCGCTGTGGGTCTGCGGTGGGTGGTTCGGTCTTGCTGGCGGCTCTCACACGTCCTCGCTGTGCCGTCCACAGGGACATGTAGAAGCCCAGTGGGTGCCAGCGGGACCCGGCTCACATCCCAGGACGTGCACTCTCTCCTCCTCCCCACTCCTCCTCTTCCTGCGAGCGCTGAGCGGACAACCCAGCTGATTGGGCCTGTGTGTGATGTTTCAGGAACCGGTGACCTTCCGGGACGTGGCCGTGGACTTCTCCCCGGAGGAGTGGGGGCGGCTGGGCCCTGCGCAGAGGACGCTGTACCGGGACGTGATGCTGGAGACCTTCGGGCACCTGCTGTCTGTGGGTGAGGCCGCCGCCCCAGCTGAGAGCAGATTCCTGCACTAATTCTTCGTGGGTAACAGGTCGTAGGCCTTGGGCTGGGGACCAGGACCTTGGGTTCTCCGTCCCTGAGGGACATGTGGACGGGGAGGTGTCTGCCCTTCCCTGTCCCATTGCAGAGCCTTCTCTTGTGTGAGACTCCCCGCCTGGCGGTCAGGGGTCCAGGGCTGGGGCGGGGCTGCTCCTTCGTGTCCCGAGCAGAACCCACATTCCGTGTCTCTCTCTGTTTCCAGGGCCTGAGCTTCCCAAACCTGAAGTCATCTCCCAGCTGGAGCGAGGCGCTGAGCTGTGGGTGTTGGAGCGAGGACTCGCCCAGGGCTGCTGTCCAGGTGGGGATCCCTACGGGGCGCTGCTGGGAAGGAGTGGTGAGCCGGGTCCTCCAGACCAGTGCTCACAGCGAAAGGTTACGGGGAAGGTCCAGAAAGGGGAAAGGGCAGGCGAGGCCAAGTCCAGAGGAAGGCAGGATCCAGGTCGCTGTCCCCATGGGCTCCAGGTCACTGTCCCCATGGGCTCCAGGTCGCCGTCCCCATGGGCTGAAGGTCGCCGTCCCCATGGGCTGAAGGTTGCCGTCCCCATGGGCTGAAGGTCGCTGTCCCCATGGGCTGAAGGTCACTGCTCCCCTGGTGCTGAGTCTGGTGGTTGCTGCAGCCGCCAGAGAAAATGGGTCCACCTTCACCTCAGCGCACTAAGCAGGGAGCCCTCCTGGGCCTGGAGGCCTCGGCACTGCAGCTCCCCAGGGTCCCTGAGGTGGGCACCCCACTACCTTGTGGCCTGTGACTCGGGTTTTCTAAAACTGAGCTGCTCGCCTGCCCTGAGCCCCAGGCTGCTGCTCCAGGCTTCCTTCAGCGTCTGCTCCCAGCTCCTGACGGCAGGCTCTCCGTCTGTTGGGGTCACTGCTTGATCCCCAGCATCTGAGGTCAGATAGCAAGTATTTTAGGCTTTGCAGGCTGCGTGTAGTCTTCCTATCACCATGAACATAACAACTTAAAACAACACACATTGGGCAGGGAGAGTGGGGGTGGGCTAGAAGGGGTTAATGGTGGAAAAAGGGGCATTTGTAATACTTTCAACAATAAAGGTAAGTTTTAAAAAAAGTCACACACATTGATTGTCTCAGTTCTGTCAATCAGACCGGCTGGTTTTCCTGCTCCGGGTCACATGGCCGGAGTCATGTCAGCCGGGCTGGGGTGGGCTCACTGGGAGGCCGCACCGGGTTGCTGGCCGAGTTCAGCTCTGGGCGTCCTGGGACTGAGGGCCCTGGGTCTTTGCAGACCATCGTCCAAGGGCTGTTCTCGGCTCCAAGGAGCCCCTGCACAGGCGCTCCCCCTCCGCCCTCGTCCCATAAACGAGGGGATGGCTTTGAGGCCACCCGGGTAACCCCGATTCTTTTTTCTTTTTTGTATTTTTTATTTTAATCCTCCCCAGAGGATATTTTTTCCATTGATTTTTAAAGAGAGTAGAAGGGGCCCAGCCGGGTGTAGCTCAGTGGTTGAGCGTCTTCCCAGGAATCGAGAGGTCACCGGTTCAATTCCCGGTCAGGGCATATGCCCAGGTTGTGGGCTCGATCCCCAGTGGGGGGCATGCAGGAGGCAGCCTATCAGTGATTCTCTCTCATCATTGATGTTTCTATCTCTCTCTCTCCCTCTCCCTTCCTCTGAAATCAATAAAAATATATTTAAAGAAAAAAAAGAGTAGAAGGGAAGGAGGGGAGAGAGAGAGAGAGAAACATTGATGTGAGAGAGGCCCACTGATAGGGTGCTTCCTACATGTTCCCTAAATATGTTTTTATTGATTTTAGAGAGAGGAAGGGCGGAGAGAGAAACATTGATTGGTTGCCTCCCTCATGCACCCTGACTAGGAACCAGGCCCACAACCCAGGCATGTGCCCTGACGGGGAATCGAACCGGTGACCTTCGGTGCACGGGACCGCCCTCAGCCAACAGCCACAGCGGCCGGGGCCCAGCTCCCTGTTGTGAGGGTTAAGGGCAGCTGATGGCGACCTTCCTGCCGCCTGCGGACCCTCCACGGCGATGCCTCCGTGGCTGTGACTGGACAGCCGGCCGGAGCTTTAGAATCCCTCCTGTCTGTGTTGCATATTCCTTTTTTTTCTACAGCCCTTTTCAAACACAAAAACCTGATCACTTAAGTGATATAAAGTCTAATCACTGGGTTGTCCACCTAAAACTAATATACCGGTACCGGTATTGTATGTCAGCTGTGAGTGAAAAAGTAAAAACTATTTAAAGTTTAAAAACAAACATAAAAGCCATCCATCGCTGGGGCACTTGGTTTCCCGCCTGTGCTCTGGGCGGACGCCCGGCCCGAGGAGGGGCCTGGACGTTAGGTGGGAGGATGGGTGAGGGCAGCTGTGGGTGCAGCCGGG